GTTCCTTTAAATGATAAAGAACTTGTTTAGTTGTATGATAGTATTTTGCTTATTATAACTTTTCCTCTTCTGGCTGTATATGGGCTTGAAGTGAACCCTTGGGATAGTAATTTTGAGACCCACAATGAAGTAGATAAAAAATCTAAGAAAGTTAAAATTCAAGTTTGGATAGAAATCTTGACCTAAATATAACTCTATATCTAAGAACTAAATATATTGGAAAAGAACTTGGACTCATTATTTATAGCAAAACAAGAACCTAAACTATATAAAGATACCACAAGCTAAACTATATCTTGATAAGTTAGTAGTAGTTGATCTTTGTCCTAATAAATAGAAAAGTGTTGCATCGTGCAAAACATAAGTTTATTCAAAATTTTATGGCTGTTAAATTTTATGGTAAAGAAAATAATAAATAATCCTCTTGAATAACCCTAATGGACCCTTATTGGGTTACAAACCAATAAGTCCAAGTTAATAATTATTTAACACATGTCTAATACCTAAAACAACCTTAAAACATTTATTTTAGACCACAACAAACTCAAACTAAAATATAAACCCTAAACTGAATGTAAATATTCAAATAATAAAATAAAATAACAAATAAAATCTTAAAATAATTCATATTAATTCAAAGAAATAATTTTGCCTAAAAGTAATATGTCATTAAATACTTCAACCTTCCTTTCCTTTATAACTAGGATAAATAATGAATCATTGTATGAAAAAGATTTTAGAATATTAAGAAATCCTTAACACATTTGAAAACTTTATTGTTTCCCATTAAGGATCCATTTTTAACCAAGGAAATCCTAAAAATAAGTTGTTAAATATCCTTATATTAAAAAGAAAAGAATCCTCTATAAATAGGAAATTCACAAATCAAAACGTAAGAAGTAGCAAATCTATATTGCATTTGCTGACCTATATTGTAAGATTTTTATGAGTTTCGATTGACCTAAAATTTTATCATGATATAGAAAAATATATAAAGAGATTCATAGTAAAATTTCAACTCAATCTAATAATCGGATTAAGAGTTATGCTCAATAGTATAAAACTAGATAATAAGCATAATTACACTAGAATTTGAATGTTCTTGTTCAATATTTTCTTAGATCATATGAAGGTTATAGGATTATATTCATTAGGTTATGAGAATTATTTGTGTAAGAAGAATTGGGTTAACAATATCACTAATGAATTAAAATGAAATTGAGTGGTTTAAACAATTAGAGATGTGTTAGTTTTTTAATACAAGAAAAATTACAAGTTCGCTTTATTTATATATAAAGAAATGGACTTCCTAGTTGGTAGTCTTGATTTAGTGTGTCGTAAATTAATGCTTTAAAGAAGATATGGAAGATGAAAACCATCTTAAATTCTCGGATAAATTTTTAAAAGAAAAATTAGAAGTATCTTTATTTAGTGTTAAAGACTATCTTGTTTCATTTTTTTTCTTAATAAATTTGGTGATGATGATGAATAAATAGAATATGATGGTGGTGCAGAAATAAATATTGATAATGTCTATCATATGTTTGATAATATTCATCCATTATTGAAGATTGAAAATTAAAAAAGAAAATGAAGAAGAAGTTAACCATAGTGGCTAAGGTTTTTTTTTAGTTTAATAGCAAAGTTGTAATATTAATATCACTGGCTCTTTAGTTATTAAATGAAATATAATAATAATTTTGTATAAGTTAAGATATTTTTTATTGAATTTTTGTAGTAGGATATAAAAAGTTATAAAGTTATTAAAGTCTAGATATAAAGTATAATTTTTCAAAGTACAAAGATAAAACAAAAAAGACAATTAAACTATAGAAAGCTTGATGTAATTTCAAAAAACAAAATTGATAATATAAAGCCAAGAATTAAAAAAAAAAGATTGTTATAGGTGAAACGCCCAATGAAAAATGTCTTTCTTGTTTATGTACATTCTTAAATTTTTAATAATTATTATGCTAATTCATTTATTTTTAATTATTTTTACTACACTATGTATTTTCAAATATATACAATTTAAAATTAATCTTCTTTGCATACAAAGCAATTCAATACTTTTTTCCAATAATATTTTCTTCTCTTATTGGGAGTTTCATATGAAAAACAAATAAAATAAAATAAAAAATCACTTTTCAATATTCTTACCTTAGGAATTTTTAAATTTCCTTTTATTATGATTTTCTTTCTTTCTTATTCATCAAGGCTTTTCATCCTTTCCATTCTTGTTATTTTCTTATATTTATACATATATCTTAAACTTTCATTGTAAAGTTTTTCTATATTTTTTTATAAATTTATTCACATATCTTAAACTTTCAAAAAGGTTTTTCTTCTAAAAGCCATTAAAGAAAGCAACTTTCAAGGATTAATCTTGTTTATTGTCATGGTTTCTATAATAATTTTTTTAGTATTTTTTTAATTTAATTATTTGTTTTCATTAATATTTTGTTTTTATCTAAGTCAAATCTATTTGTAAATACTTATTTGTTTTTTCTTAATTAATGACTTATAAATAATGTCATCCTTTTATTTTAATTATGGTTGTTAGAAATCTCTTTTTTCAATTGATGATATCATTTTATCAATTATGTAATCATATTCACAATAACCAATTGAAAGAATTGTATTTTATCAATTATGTAATTATATTCACAATAACCAATTGAAAGAATTGTCAAGGAAAGATCATAGAATTTGGTAAGGAGTTTTTTCCAATTATACAATCATATTCACAATAAGTCATAGGATTTGATGATTTAACTTTATATATATATTACAATTAATACAATTACTACATATATATGTTATATATATATTACAATTAATACATGTTTGAAATTAGATAATATATAAGTTTTGATACTTACTTGTTTTTTTTTTTACCTTAAAATTTAGGAAGCAATAAAGTGATGTAGTCACCATTAAATTTCACATCTATTCATTTTTTTTATATACATGTAAATAGTATATCATTTGTAAAATTTATTTTCATTCATTGTACTTTATTACATCCATTGAAGAATTTTTTTTTATATGTAGATATATTTTTTTTATATACTTTTATTAGAATATTAATGAAATCTCTTATCAATATTGAAAAACAAAATTAAATGTGATTTCAAAAGTTATAAATAAAAGTCATTTGATATAATTTTTATTTTTGTTTTAGTGGTTTATTTTTTGTTTTAAGTTTTCTTATTGGTTTTTAAAAATTTTAAACTTGTTTTGCTTACTATTTTATTTTTCAAAAAATGCATGTTGTTTTAATTGGGTACATGAGTTATAGATTCTAATATTTAATCTCTTTAAACTCAAAACTTATATACCTCATGTCCAATTCAAGTTCCAACCTCATCTTGATCCCAATTCAAACCTTGGGTGTTTAGGATCAAATTTTGACCCCACCTTCAAGCTCTTTAGATTCAATCTTAATTCAAAAGGGGGTTTTTTAGTACTAGATCAAATTCATTATGTGAAAGCTTATTTTAGTCTAAACTTTAAACATTTCAATCATAGTCTTAAAGTGAATCATAGGCATCCTATACCCGGTTTAAGTTAAAGCCTCAACTTAATCTTGACCCAAAAACCTTAGTGTTTTAGATTGATCTTCATCTAAGCCTCGTTAATAATCTCAATTTAAGACTCGAATGACCTAGGACTTCTTCTTGATTTGAACCTTAAAATTAATTTTAACTTAAAACTCGAGCTACCCTAGACTTGATCCAATGGAAACCCCAATTTGGCTCTTAACTTATACCCAAGGCACCTTGAATCATTCAAATTTGATCTTGATCTGAACCTCGGGCTCTTTAAACCTAGTCCAAATCCAAACCCTATCATAACTCATACTTTAAACACTTATATCTTAGTCTCAAGCCAAACTTCAAGCTTTATAAACTCAAACCTAGGGCTCCTCCAACTTGGTCTTAGCTCAAACCTGGTTTCTTAAACCTGATTTGTTATTGAATCTTGAACCTCTCAAAAAAGATCTTGGCTTAAACCTGATTTTGACTCATACCATAAATGTCTCTATCATAACCCAAACTCTAAAACCTCACACTTGCTCCTAGACTACCATTAGCCAACTTAGACTATGACCAAATCCTAACAAAAGGGATTCGTCTTAATCTAAATCCTAAATGCCCTATACTTGATCTCAACCTTAACCTCAGGTTTCTAAGTTTTAATTTTAGTTTGACCTTATATGCCCTAGGCATGATTCTAACTAAAATCTTTACAATCCTTGAAGGTTGTTTTAATTAGAACTTCAAGCATGTCAAATATAATCTCTATTTGATACTGGTTTATGTCCAAACCCCTAACACCTAGGACCTAGTCTCGGAGAATTGTTAAGTGCCTTAATCCATGTTATTATTAGAACCTTTTATCACCCATTTTATAATTCTTGAAACTAACATAATTCTCAAAATATAAGCTAAAAGTTTAGAAATTTATTTTGAAAACTTTTTTTTTTTGGTTTTCAAACTTATTGCCAATTATATTTTTCTCAAAAAAAAAATATTTTTCAAATCTTATTTTTAAGAAACCAAAACAATAATAAAAAAAAAAACAAAAACAAAAACAATACCAACCAGCCCCTCGAATTTTCACATTGCAAAGAATACAGATTGATATATAATGCGCTCCACATCTAAAAAAATAAAACCATGCTTTGTAGTGAAGTAAAATAAAATAAAGGTGTAAATAGTCTCAAAAAAGAACATCAATTATCAAATGATCCTGAATTGGCTCTGCAACCCATGCACAAATCCTCTCATGATCATATAAAAAATTTCTTCTTCTTCTTTTTTTTTTAATCAAAAATGTGTTGTACAATAATTTATGAAAAAGAACATAAATTGAGAATTGTATAATTCCGGGACATAATGAACAAAAACTATAGGTTTGGGATCTAATTGAGAAATGAATAATAGCAGGAGAACTAGTCTGACGTTAGCCCGAGAAAGAAAATTGTGAGAAAAAAGAAAAGAAAAGAAAAGAGAAAAGGGTTTCTTGTTCAGCGAGTCACTAATTCATCAAATAGAGAACAAAAAAAGAAGAAAAACCTGTTTTGTTGGTCATCGAAACTTGAACGCCAGATCTCTTCTCTATACGAAAATCTCAATAAGAATGAGCAGAGGAAGTGGAGGCGGGTACGATCGCCATATCACCATATTCTCCCCTGAAGGTCGCCTCTTTCAAGTTGGTATGTACTGTCATTTTACTCTCCTCTCCCTCTCATTCAAAGAAAAAAAACTGATTTCTCCCACCGGAAAGTATTTTTAAATTAATATAACCGAGATTGTGGGTGCAGAGTATGCGTTCAAGGCAGTGAAGGCAGCTGCGACAACTTCCATCGGAGTTCGCGGCAAGGATTCTGTCTGTGTCGTCACTCAAAAGAAGGTTCCGGTGAGTGACCTATTATTTTCTTAATTTTACTGCATTGCATTAACTATCCCTTAATTTATTATGATTAATTGCCTTCTTGATCTAGGGTTTTGTTTACCATTTCGTGTTTGGTATATCGCGTGAGGTAAATAATTGTATTTTTGGTGATAATGAATGTGCAGGACAAGCTTTTGGATCAGACTAGTGTTACTCACCTTTTCCCTATTACCAAGTACCTTGGACTACTTGCCACCGGCATGACAGGTTTGCTTTGAATTAATTGACACTCTTTTAATTCTTTCTGTTATAATGCAATTAGAGAGATTTATGGTGTTCGTCTTTTTTTTTTTTTCCTCTTATGTCTCTCAAAATTGGAAGTAAGCACAGTAGAGCTGTTTATCTATGAATTTGATTTGGATAACTGAGTATTGCTATTATTGTTTGGTACCTTCATGTACCAAGCTTGGAACTTGATACTATCATTCAGTCTTGAAATTGTTTTCCAGTTACACCGCTGATAATGGTATTTTTGTGTCCAATTTTTAGCTGATGCAAGGAATTTAGTACAACAAGCAAGGAATGAAGCGGCGGAGTTTAGGTTCAGATATGGATATGAAATGCCTGTGGATGCATTAGCTAGATGGTATGTGATTTTCATTGATCATATTGTGGTTGTGGAAAATTCAGCTATTTGATTATGTTTAATGCCAAGATGTGTTCCATATGTGGGATGCATCCTTTTTTGTTTGGATTGTTACTAGTGCTGTTCATAACTGCTCCTTTTAAGATTGCAAGTCAAGCTTGCTTTTAAACAGTTCATGCTGTTATTTGAAAAAATTGAATTTTGACTGCCTTCTATCGCACCATTTTCACTTTTCTTAAATCCATGGCCATTCTCCAATATCTTTGGGGAAGATGGTCAGATGCATATCAACCTGTTCATTGAATTAACTAATGCTATCTTCTCTAATCATACTTCTTTTCTGTCCTTGTAATCTTGAACTCTGAATTTTTTTTTATCAATAATTGCATGGATTGTTTTCCTTGCTTTACTGCAACTGATAATTTCTTGTGAACTTGCAATGATATTTTTGTTACATATATAGGATTGCGGACAAATCACAAGTTTATACTCAGCATGCATACATGAGACCTCTTGGAGTTGGTATGGGTTCTTCTCTTATTTTGATCTGTTGTAGCTCTTAAGATTATTCCATTTACATGCAGTGCATTTTCTTAAGGTGTATCCGGGTGTTTGTAGTGGACATTTACACCTTCTAATTGCTGCTGTTGGTCTTATTCTTATATTCATTTATCTTGACATCTTTAATGTGACTTGTCTATGAAGTTGCTATGGTTTTGGGTATTGATGAAGAGAATGGGCCTCAACTTTACAAGTGTGATCCAGCTGGCCATTTTTTTGGTCACAAGGTATTTCGCAAACTTGTTCGTTTCATGAAAATGCATTACATTTTCAATGCTTTACGCGAAGGATGTTGTTTCACTATTGCTTAGCAAGCACACCTATGGCTCCCATGATCATATAAGCAAAAGAACTAAGATGAATATGAGGTATATGATTCGTTAACGAAATACTTCAGCTTTATCCTTGGGATGAATACCATCTGATAATTTAAGGAGTATGCTTTTGAATTCACATGACAGTGGCTATTGAATTTTTTTTGGTGATCTCCTGTGCTCTTCTCTCAGTCCCTTAAATCTGGCAACATTGTTATTTATTGTTTAGCTAGCAAAATTTTGCTCCGGGCCTGTCAGCAGGAAACTGCTGCTGCCTGTATGTGCCCTCCTCTCAAGGGTTTAAAATCACATGTCTAGATTGCCTTATCATGTTCTCAAGTTTCAATTCCTGCCATACCCTCTTAATTTGTTGCTACTGATTTTTCCTTTGCAAACACCTGCCGAGTTCCCCCCTTCCTCATCTGCAATATCGACATAAATAGAGTACTTCAAAATATTATCTCTAAGGATTTACAACAGTGTATTATTCTCTGCTTGTCCTGTTATAAAACAGGTTTTAGATCAACCTCACCAATTAATTAACATGCAAATTTCCATGTATATGATCCTCTGCATATTAGTTCTCAGTGATCTTGGGTTGCATTTGGGAACTAAGTCATACTTATGTAGCTGCTATTGGCCTTTCATTGACTAACATTCATCTTGTGTCAACAAGTTTTTTGATAGAAATTTTCGCTAGGCTATAAATTTTTTATATTCAAAGGTTACATTTAGTTTATCATAGGTCTAAGAAAATTGAATAGTTGTTAAAATTTGGGAAATGTACTGGTAAACAAAGAAAAGTACTAGTTCATCATGGTCTAAGAAAAATGAATAATTGTTCAAAATTGGGAAATGTACTGGCAAACAAAGAAAAGTACTAGTTCATCCTGGTCTTAGAAAATTGAATTGATGTTAAAGTTAGTAAAAGATGCTGGCATACAAAGAAAAGTACAAGTTTAGAGAACTAGGGACCAGCTTGAGTTGAATTTCATTATGCGAAGTTCTGTCGAGTTAAAAAGATGCAACAATTCCAATTGTTTCAGAGAAGGGTAGAAGAGGAAATGTGAATTAAGAAGTCAAATAATCATTTTATGGTTGTAGTTTTAAACCTACAAATGAAGTACACTTATGGGCTGCAGGAACACTCCTTGCAATCCAGTCTGCTTCAAATATTTGTTTGTCAGTTAATTTGCCTTCTAGGTATGCTTACTAGATCTTGCAGCTAAAGGCCTGGTAGATATCTACCTGTTCCTATAATATATCTAAATAGTGTATGGGGATTTTTTTTTAAGGGAAAATTTATCGATCTCTGTGTTGATGATTTATTTTAACTTTGCATCATACACAATTCCAAGGAAGCATTTTGTCCAAGGAACATAAGTTTATGCTCATGTTGCAGGCTACAAGTGCTGGATTGAAAGAACAAGAGGCTATCAATTTCCTGGAAAAGAAAATGAAAAATGATCCTGCTCTCTCATATGAGGAAACTGTGCAGGTACATGTGCCTATTCCTGCTAAGGACATGCTGAAGGACTGTTTTTCTTTTTTCTTTTTATAAACTTTTCATTGGCTATCTACTATTATTTTCAGAAGAGAAATATGCTCTCTGCTTATCAACCATTCAAGTCTTCTTATTTTCCTGTTCTGGGTTGGGAGGTAGTTCATTCTGTGAAGAATTTTTGGGCCATATAATATGCAATAGATAATACTTTTTATTTATCCTCATGGTGTTAAAAGAATTTCTATGACTTTAAAGGAGTTCAAATGATTTTTGTTTGGATTATTTGTTTTCCAGGGCTACGAGAGGATTCTGTATATAGTAGTATAAAATAACTCAAGAGGATAAATATTGTTGGTTTTTGTTGGATTATTAGACAAAATGGTGTGAAGCTGCATTTAGATTATTTCTATTTTATGTTTATTCCAAACATTCTACATGTGATTGTCCTAAAACAGCATCTTGCTTGTATTGTGCAGACTGCTATTTCTGCTCTTCAATCTGTTCTTCAAGAGGATTTTAAAGCTACTGAGATAGAGGTTTGATGACTCCCTTTATTACATTCAACAGTTGGTGATACTAGACTAGTAGTATTAAAATGACTGAAAACAGAAGGATAGTATTAATACACTGTAAAGGCATAGGTTCAAGAAAATAAGTTTTGGTGTAATATGTCACCTCCGATATGAGTGGCCTATCATTGAACTCTGGTATTTAGACTTCTGTTTAGGTGGCTTTCCTTCTGTTATGTTTCCAATAGAATTCAGAATCTTGGTGCATGTTCTTTTCCTTCTTTTTTTATTTTTCACTTGCTTATTAGATGCCCCTTTATTTACTGTCTGCCAAATTTGCAGACCATTACGGTATGGACATTAAAGTGCTTTTTAATCGAATTTACTTTGTACAACTAAAATGGTTTCTAACAGTTAGTGTTTAATTGTTGCAGGTAGGGGTTGTGAGGACGGACAATCTTGTTTTTAGAGTGCTGTCCACTGAGGAAATTGATGAACATTTAACTGCTATAAGTGAACGTGACTGATTTTGTGGGATAGCCTGAGACAGTTTGGAAAGGATTGTGCAATCATTGGAATTCATCAAAACTTGCTTGATTAATCATGTAGTTTGACAGGAAAAAAAGGAAGCAAGATAATTTGTTTGGATTATATTCCCGCCCACCCCAAAAATTTGTTAAACTGCCAATCATGTTACAACTATTGCTGTTTCTGCAGTTATCTTTCTGTCTGTTGGTTTTCCAAGAAATAATGATGAGCTAGATGTCTTCATTAGGTTTTATTAGAAGTCTGGATTGCTGGGTGTACTGGATGTTGTCGGATGAATGAGAATTTTGCCAGTAGATGATAGGTGAACACCTATGCAGTTGATGTTTTGTTGCTGGCTCTATTTGATATCATTTAGTTCTGTGGATCATGAAAGGCCGAAGACTAGGAAGCCAGCATGCAATATCTCCATTAGTTATTCAAAATAATATGGGTTCTAGTCTGAACAGCCAAGTGTCATAACTTATCTTGGGAGCCTTTTTTGAATTCATGCTCCATACTTGTTCTTCCTCGTCTGATGGTCTGAAGTTCAAGAATTCGTGGGATTCAATGGCAACTTTCCAATGAAGTTGGTATTTAGGCTTCCTAGGTAAAGGTGATCCTCGAACTCGAAAGCTGTTGTAACAAAAGACATCACTTTGCCTACAGGATCGTCAAACCTCCTGGTAATCTTGCCATCAGCGGCCACGTTTACCACCGTTGCTTTCCTACGGGCACCGTTGACTAGGTTAGCTAACTTAGGAAAGGATGCAACCAAGTGTTTGGATGGCTTTGATCTGTGAACGAACTCCAGCCCATTAGGCACAACCTGTGGTGGAAAATAATATTTTTGTTATGTCTCTCATACGGACATGTTAAACAGAGTAACAGATGCTTGCAGTTTGCACATCAATTGCATGAAGTTTGCTGAGTAGTTCATTATAGGCAATTCATATAGTGGATCTTTCTTCTCCTAAAAAGAAAATAAAATAAACCCAGCAGGGTTCCAAATCTTTTGAAGTACCTGTAGCAGAGCAATCCAGAAAGAGCCATCCGGTGCCAGATAGATGTTATCAGGACTACCAGGAAGGTTGTCGATGAAGATCTCTGTTTTCCCCTTGTCCGCTCCCCTCAGCCAATATTTCTGGCACCTGTATCTGAGCCCACATAAAGATGCAGGTGGTTTACATGCTAAAAGTGCATATCTTTGATATCCAGAGCATTGCACAATTTAAACAAGCACACAGGTTATGGTGCTCCACGAATTTACTTACTTCCAAGATTCGCAGAAGACCAGATAATCTTCCTCTCTTGAGAGAGCAACACCATTAGGGAAGCACAAACCTTCAAGCAAAATCGATGTTTCATTCAATGATGGATCATACTTGAGCAACTGCCCATGAGGTTTTGCCTCCAGAACGTCCAAGAACCAGTCGTGGAATCCAAATTTGGTGCTTGCAACACTAAAATAAAGACTTCCATCCGATGATTCAATGACCTCGTCTGCAAACCTAATTGAATCATATAATCAATGTCATATTTGCTTGGAAAAAAAATATAACAGGAATATTTCCCTCGACATTTTCTTTTCCAGATCCAAAACCTAGCAAAATTTGTTTCTCTCTATGGCTATGGGCTAAGACTGCTCTAGTGCTGCAGGGATGGGCTATGCGTTATGTAAGGATGAATCACTCAAATCTTGTCGAAAACAAAGCAAACAAGATTAACTCGTATTGTCATCTCATACAGTTTCCAAGACTCATGCATTAGGTACGTAGTTGTCGGTTCCAAGAGATAAACAATGACTCCTCTATACTATAAATATAATTGCTGAGGTTAAGAGTGCCTGTTTGGTTTGGAAGCTGCTGCATGTCCAAGTCCCCATCTAAAGAAATAGCAATGCTTGCCCATGTTTTAATGCTTTAAGTGCTTATATGATCATCATGTTTTTGTTAATGCAGCAGTAAATGAGCATGACAAATAGCAGCAAATCACTTGACAATAATGTAGCAAATCCTACTAGTTCTTTATTCTACTTTATTGTAATTATCTGTTTTCCTTTCTTGTATATTCAGTATTGATTGTGTAGATTCCTTTAGACATAGAGATTGTACAAAATAATCAATTATATAAAAGGATTCTCTGCAGTGGTCTTGGTATCGAAATTAACCAAGTCCTCGAAGAAAATGCCTTTTGCTCACGCTTGATCCTGTATCTAGCAAGATGGCATCCTTCAGTTCCACCTCCAATTGTTTTCAATGCATCGAATGTAGTTCAACTTATCTGGGTGAAAATGGATGGTGAGAATTATTTGAATTGGATTTCTCAGTGTCTACCTGCACTGGCTTTCGTGGATGGTTTTGAACCGTGCCCAGATAAGCAACTGTCCGACGCTCAGGGCAAGTCTTCAATTGAAATTAACCTTGCCTTCTTGCTCTGGCACAAGAAGGACTAATTTGTTCTTGGATTACTCAGTTCTACACTTGCTAACCATGTTTTACCATCTGCAGAGTTTGCGCCAAAGAGGAATGAGTTGTACTGAGTTTCTAAACACCGCCAAGATATGTGCTGACAATCCGACAGCTGCTGGGAAGCCTGTAGAAGAGGAGGATCTAATCTCCTATATTGCAAGAGGTCTCTACCCTTCTTTTAATCCCTTAATTGTCTCCTGTTCCTTTGCCTTGTAGAACAACATGATGAGCTCTGATGATTTTCAATCAAAACTCCTGTCTTATGAGATTCTTATTGAAAATCAAAACCAAGGAACAACAGAATTTTGCTATGATGGCACCTACCACAGGCCACTTTAAAAATGGACCAAAGAAGCCTCGTAACAACGACTTTCCACCTAATCAAAATTATTTTCCCAAAAGGAACTCGCATCCAAAATAGAAGAACCTTGTACACCAACAAAATATATGCAGTAGATCTTCTCATCAAAGTTCTTTCCAACAAAATCCCACACAGCAAAGTTTTTGCAAGTACCATGCCAGATTTGTGGTAAGACTAATCACAATGCTTTGGACTGTTTTCATAGAATAGATTATAGTTATCATGGAAGGCACCCACTTTCCCAGCTTGCTGAAATGGTGACCCATGACAATACTCTTAATGAAGATGGCGCCTAGTATGCTGATATTACTAATGATTTGGCTAGTCTCACTCTTCAGGAGACTTATGGTGGCATTGAAACAATAGTAGAACACAAGTTCCTTTCCTCTAAACACTCCACGAACAAATTTAAACTTCAACAGTGTTTTACATTGCCCTAATGCCACGACGAATCCCCTTTCTGTAAATCAATTTTGCATTGAAAATGATAGTTTCTTTTTGTCCTAATGAAGTCTCATTATTTTTGTTTAGATGCACAGGATAGAGACCACCTTCACTCGGACCCTCTAGAATTTGTCTGAGTGTAATTCTGAGTTACTTCTTTCTCTATGGACATTTCATTTGAGTGTAATTCTGAAAATTCAACCTACATTAATTCCTAACCATGTTATTCCCATAATTCCTACCACACTATCCCCGACACACAAAATACCCTTCTTGAGGTTTCCTTACCCAACAATAATTCATCCATTCCTTCTACAAATTCTACACACATAATAATTGTTGATGTAAACTCAATTTAGAAGATCAAGAAAGGCAACCACCAGTTGTCACCGCCCAACCATTCAGCCGCCAACCGCCAACCGCTTTCACACTGTCGGCAATAGTCGCCTTCACACTTTAAGGTTGAATTTTTTTGTTTTGAATTCGAGTATAAATAAATAGCTGAGTTTATGTTATAATGTGTGAAGAGATTTGAGAGAGACACTAGAGAGAAAGAGAGGGTGTGTATTGTAAGCTTTTGTTTATGTTGTAAACTTGTTGTTCTTAAAATAAAACAGTGTGTTTTATCCCCTCTGAGTGTTTCAAAACTACCACAAGTGGTTTCTCCCACCAACAATTGGTATCAGAGCCCCGTTCGTCACAAAATAGAAGATTTTTTTGGGAAATATTCGAATTTTCAAAGTTATCAAAAACACATTTTGATTATTCCAAAGTGTAGAGCTCATCCATACGAACTCAACGGTGCAAAAATCAGATTAATCGGAGCACGGGGTGGCCCACACTCTTCGTCTGAAATTTTGGTACTGTAGCCCACGCACCTCGAGGAAGAAGAAGACGACTGAGCTGAACTCCAAGCCATATTTCGAAGCCGAGCTGAGCTCCGAGCCATATTCCAAAGCCGAGCCAAAAAGAATATTCCTGGTTCAACCCAGCGAACCGCCCGAATTGGTTTTTGGACCGGTTCACCCTATTTTTGACCTATTTTCTACAAAGTCAGACTGGTTCCCTACTATTTGGACCATTCTAGATCCATCTATGATGTCGGTGTTTCCAAATTCAACTCCTAAAAGGTGATATAGTCATTTAAAAGGCAAAATGACTATAAAAAATGCACAAACACTCATCCCGAAGCTAACCAAAGACAACTATGATAGTTGGTACATCAGATTGAAGGCATTTCTTGGTTCATAAGAGTGTATAGATATTGTGCAATATGGTTATGATGAACCAGAGTCCAAAGAATTAGAAGATGCTCTACTAGAGGCATAGAAGCAAGTCCTCAAAATCAATAGAAAGAAAGACAACAAAGTAAAAACCTTCATTTATCAAGGTCTTGATGAAGCCACATTTGAGATCATTGTTTTTGTAGAAACATCAAAAGAAATATGGGAGGCTTTCCAACAAAAATACAAAGGTACTAACAGAATAAAGAAGATTCGTCTCCAATCTTTGCGAGGTGAATTTGAATTGTTACAAATGAAGTCCTCAGAATCCATTTCTGATTATCACACAAGAATTATGGTGATAGTCAATCAGATGAGAAGAAATGGAGAAGCCCTTTCAGATGCTCAAATTACTGAGAAAATTTTGAGATCCCTAGATCCAAAATTTGATTTTGTTGTTGTCGGTATTGAAGAGTCCAAAGAAGTGGACAAGTTGATAGTGGATGAACTTATGAGTTCTTTGCAAGCTCATGAGCAGAAGATTGTAAAAAGAAATGGAGATAAGGCAATTGAGCATGCCTTACAAGCAAAGTTATCTTTCAAAGACAGATATGAGCAAGGGGAGACTTCAACAAGTGGAAATACCACTCGAGGAAGAAGTCAATAAACACGAGGAGGATTTCAACGATTTCAAGATAGAAGTTCTTGGAATACAAGTTTTAGAGTAAGAGGTGGTAGAAACACCACTAGAGGAGGTCGAGGACAACAAGTATTCACTCCTAGAGGAAGAGGAGGCGGTTACAATAACCGTGACAAGAGAAATATTCAGTGTTATAATTGCAATCAATTTGGGCATTATAGCACTGAATGTCAAAGGAAAGCTCCATTAGAGGTACATGAGCATGCCAACTATGCAGAAGAGGATGCCAACAATAGAGGAGCAGCTGCATTATTTATCCAACAAGGACTTGACAAGAATCAAGAGAATATTTGGTATCTTGATTCTGGAGCTAGCAATCACATGTGTGGCCAACAAGATTTATTTAGTGATCTAGATGAGACCATATAAGGTTTTGTCACCTTTGGAGATACCTCAAAAGTTCCATTCAAAGGTAAAGGCAACATCCCAATCAAGTTGAAGAATGGCAATCATAGCTACATCGCCGATGTCTACTATGTCCCAGCCATAAAGCAGAACTTGGTGAGCATATGTCAACTTTTAGAGAGAGGCTATACACTTTACATGAAGAATTGTCATCTGACAATTACAAACTACAATGAGAGATTAATTGCCTATGTGAAAATGTCCAAGAATAGGATGTTTCCTTTAAACATCCAATATAATGCAGCAAAGTGTTTGAGTGCCATCACCAACAATGAAGAATGGCTTTGGCACCTGAGGCTTAGACATCTGAATTTCACAAGTCTGAAGATGGTAGCAAGCAAGAAGATGGTCAAAGGTATGCCCCACATTGATCATCCAGAAGAAGTCTGTGAGAGTTGTGTCCTCAGCAAACATCACAGATCCAGTTTTGCCAAAGAAGTCAACTGGAAAGCAAACAAGCCACTTGAGTTAGTACACACAGATGTGTGTGGTCCTATAAAGCCTATGTCGACTGGACAAAATATAATAATATATCTAATAATATAAGATACCTTTAATTTGTGGTAAATGTTCATTTTAAATGCAGACCTATCACATAAATGAAAGGATTGATTGATGACTTTAAGAACTTAAATTGCAAGGGAAAAAAGATGACCAAAATTAGAAAAGAGATGTCGGTGTAATCCAAACCGGAACACTATTCGGTAATTAGGTCATATCTGGAGCTATAGATCTCCGATTTAGGTCTACTTTATATGGATGGAAAGGTAAGACATAGGCCTACAACTTTCATATGGAGCCCAAGATCTAAAAAGGCCATTTTCAAGTCCAAATTGTAGCAACAACAAAAAAGCCCGAAGCTGTCCTCCAGCCCGAGCACTGTTCAGTATTTTGGCCATATCTAGAG